AAAGTCATTCCGCACACTGGGCCATTGCAGCGCTTTCCAAGCCGAACTTCCGGCTACACAGGAGTGGTTGAGTGCTTACGAATAAACACAGTTACACACAATACAAATCTTATATTTTTCCCAACCTGTCAGGTAGCTCTAATTTTGAATTTCGAAAAACTGACTTCAGATCCCTAATTAGCAACCCCAGAAACTCCCTGGTAACAAGTTCCAACCCATGACAATGCGTAAATCGTTCAGTATCAACGTTTTAATTTTACTAGTCTCTTTTCGAGAGCATATTTTCGGGCCCTAGGCCCATTCTAACTGCCCAAGACAGGTATATAATTAAGGGAATGTTCCCCAGTAATACCAGAGTAATTATATGTAAAAAACAAATTTTTGGCTGCATTTTAACGTGTCAAGAAAATAAAAAATTGAGAATATCAGCGTTTTTATAAAAAACCCACCAGCGCGACCTCTAAGAAAACTTTTTTTTCCAAAATAAAAAAACACCTTTCTCTTTTTTTATCACAAATAACAATAATTTGAGGTAGCGTTTATGAATTTCCAAAAAAAAATTTTTTGAACCACTCTAATGTACATACTACCTTCTTAAACTCTTTTTGTCTGGCATCCATATGGTGATACATTTTTCTATTACCTAATTACCTTTATTCAAATTTTAAATTAATTTTTGTAACAGGTGGCAACCCTCCCACAGTTAAGTTAAAAAACCAAGCATTTCAAAACCATCTGGATTGATACTTTTTTTTGTTATAATTGGTAGACCTTTTGAATAATTTGAACTTGTATGTATGTATAAATATTAAAATTGTATTTAATCATAATAAACATGTATATTAGAACTAATCATCAGGAAAACAGAAACATTCATTGCCGTCGCTATTAGTAAAGCACGTTAAACAACACTCTGTGAAACAGTCCAATATTGAGTAAAAACAATAGCCACTTTTCCCAGCTTCATCGTCCACCGCTGGCACAAAATGAGTCGCTACCCTTAGTTCATCAGCCGCTTTTAGATTTTCCTTCTTTTCAAGTTCAGACCTCAACTCTACCTCGGTCAGTGCATTGTGTTGTTCTACCGAAAGTGCGTCCATTGAAGCGGTCTTTGTGAAAATTCCAAAGAGTAGAAAACCGTATAGATATTAGGTTTTCAATAAAATGCGTGTAAATAAAATACAGCACAACTTCAGCCAATATTTACATCTAACTGACGCATTTACAAACAACGATTTATAATAAATACATACATATGTGTAAATTATAATCTTGATTGTTGCAAAAGTGGCAAAGTATGTTCTCTCTAAAGTTCAAACGCTAAAATTGTTTAATCTCGCAGCACTGAGATACTCTCTCACACATATTTGATATGCTTCCACTGTATTTTATTAAATATAGCTCTCAGTGCAACTGCCATCGTTCACATCGTATACATTTTCGGGCAAAATCGCTGCTTGCTAAAGCACCACCCCGGCGGAAAAAACGTCAAGAAATAGACTAAAATATAATTTCAGCACAATTTTTTAATTAAAGATTTTCAAAAGAATAGCAAAGGCTTTATCGACTTGCTTGTGGATTTGTGGCCTATTTAGGGATCTTGAAGAAATAGCTCATTAGGGGAATCAAAGTGAATAACTTGTACACTGAGGGAAATAATGCATAGTAAAAATGAATACTTTATATTTGATTATCGTTTAAAAATGTTCGTATTTAAAAATAATATTTGCATACAAAATTTATTACGCACGTATTTGACTGTTCACATCTGAATATGTATATGTGAGTGTAGATACGCACCACGTTCCAGAAAATAAAGGTCGCGCCATTCGCGGACCGCTAACCCTCTCTTCGTCGATTTGACAGCATCCACCCAATCGCTGACGTCATAAAATACTTTTGTTTACATTCACTGTTGCCAACTTCATACTTTTCGCACCAAATTTAGTGGGTATTCAAAGCGCGAAAATTTTTGACTTTTGTGCTTGGTGCGTTTTTGGTGCTTTTGTTTTTAGTTTGAAGACACCAAATTAGAAAATCTTAAAAAAATTGAAGAAAAATGTATAGCAATCGTAAGTGTGGTAAGCAATTTTACAAAAATTTAAACAAAATCATGGCACAGTGACAATCATAAGTGACAAAGAAATATGTGGCAGCACCTTCAATCATGCCAGAAGAAATCGACCGTTGCGCAAAAACATTGATTTTTGAATCGGCATCCTTACAATAAAATTATGTATTCATACATAGTCCATAAAATACACCAATAAAAATTTGGTGATTTTTCAAAGTCAAAACTTGGCAACACTGCCTTTTGGTCGATGCTTCCTCTTTTTCTTGTCGAGTTCGTCTTGCTCTCTCATTCTGGTATTTATTGACGTCACGGCCAGTTGCTCTCAGCTCGATTGGCGCAATCTTGTATTCTATCATTCTTGGATACGCACCCCAAGCATGCAGAGTGCCGCTCCGAGAGCGGTGACATCACACACATACATACATAGTACAAATCGCGTGCTGTGGTGTTGATGGATATTCAACATTTGAAAGCAACTTTATATGTGTGGGTGTAGCTGAGTGCGCAAAGATGCTTGCCACAAGTTGTTGATATCCGGAGATGGTCGGGCTCGAATTCCACTGCAGGCAACATGCAAATTAAATTTTTATTTTTAGTTTTTGTCTTGATTATTTTCTTCACGGATGTTTTTTCGGTACGAATGCGGTCATATTAATATGCGCGTAATTGAATTGAATATTTACCAATATACAGTACTTTCGTTGACGTTTATAGTAAGATCAATTACGTTTCTATTTGATTTTAATATTTTTTTGCCTCAGTGTACCGAGAGTGCGACAAGAACTTGGACTAAAGTTTGTCTCCTCCAAAAAGAAGCACATCGACTTCAAAATGTCCGAAATTGCAATTTCATACAACTTTCGATAGTTCTATATTTGAAAGTTCAGAAGATACGTTTTATATAACTAGAACTGAACTTACGTTTGCCTCCTGTCTAAAGCAATGTCAAGCAACTTCGCGGTGGCTTATATCTTACAATTGAAAAAAGAAACGTTTTAAATACCTCATCTATCGGGGAAGTTATAATTCCGAACTGCCAAATGATGGTTCTGTGAGAGGTTCTTCAGAACCATTTTCCTGCATTGTAAATTTTGCAATTGTATGCTTTTTATATAAGTTAAGCACATATTTTAAGTATTTTTCACTCACACTAACAACCAATCCTCAACTCAAATGCTTGATTTTAAAATGACGCCGATAAAAGCATAGTTTTTTTTTCTCTGCTTAATCAACTCAGTAGTACTTAGTCAACGAGAGTAGCTTTTGATGTTTAGAGCCGTCGGCACCAGTCCTTCAGTTAAGAACATCGACTGCTTTATCGATCATATGTTATAGGCTAGGTGTCGGCAACGTCGATAACGATGTTCAACTTGGAGTTAAAATTAACCAGAGATGGAGCAAGCGGCCCTTGGGGCCTTGTTAACACCAACTACAGGTTAAACATCGTTATCGTGCGCC